TATTTATTTATTATGTATACAATATTCTGTCTGTGTGTATGCCTGCAGGCCAGAATAGGGCACCAGGCCCCATTACAGATGGTTGTGAGCCACCATATGGTTGCTGGGAATTGAACTCAGGACCTTTGGAAGAGCAGGTAGTGCTCTTAACCTCTGAGCCATCTCTCCAGCCCCAAGATTTACTTTTTAACTGAGAAAAAGTATTTGGATGTTGCTTCTGAGTAGAGTCTGGGGAATATAGTCCAGAAGCAGAAATACTGGCATTTAATCATTTGTAAGCAAAATCGGACAGAATATTAGAAACGAGGAGCATCTCAAACAACTGTCACTATCCTTATACTACAAGACCAACCCAGCTCAGATATTCCAGTGATTTCTCCTAATCCTAGAGACTGGCTCAGATAGCTCTTGCTCATCACTATAGCCCAAAGACTTTGCCTTCCTATGGAAACCTCTGACAAATGACTCATGGACTCTTCACATTAAAAACTGTCTCACCATTTTACTTTGTGTGCTTTTAGTAACATTACAAATTTCCCCCATATACGGTAAGGAAAGCAAGATATAGAATATTAACCCCACCTTATAAGAAAATTGAGTTCAGTAAGAAAAAATGATTTCTCCAGTTTACCTTATTAGTGCCATATAAGAACAGACCTTCCTGTTCCAAGTTTAGTTGTCCAAGACACTACCTCATAATCAGCTTTTTACTCTCCCCCACAGAGAATATAAACTCACTGAAGACCAGAGTGCCTCAGTGGTCACCAGTTTGGCCCACTACCTTCAACATTATCCATAACCTTTAAGAGTTGACAAAGGCATACTTCTTAATCTTTTTGAAATTTATTTTTTCAAGATTTATTTTTTAATTACTTAATTATTTTATTTTATCTTATGTGTATGAATATTCTGCTTGCATGTTTGTGTGTCACTTTCATGCCTGGTGCTCACAGAGACCAGAAGAGGGCACCGAATCCCCTAGAACTGGATTTACAGACAGCTGTGAACCACATGTGGATGGTTGGAATCAAACCCGCTTCTAGCAGAACAAATTTTCTTAACCACTGAGCCATCTTGGGGGGGGGGGGGGGACAGGGAAGGGAGAGGGGGAGGGTATGGGAAAGGGGGAGGGGGGGGGGGGGGGGGGAGGGGAGGGGAGGGGAGGGGAGGAGAGGAGAAGAGAAGAGAAGAAGAGAAGAAGAAAATATTGGTGGAGTCTAGAAAACTGAATTATAATGGAGGATGATCTTACCTTCCCTGCCCACCCTCAGGAAAAGACGGTACTATCTGGGAGCATCTTTGATTTGTTTACAAGTAAACCCTTTGGAAGTGAGGCTTCCTGTGATAGAAGCCAGAGAAGCTATTAGTTATCTGTCAGTGCTCAGACCTCTCCTCCTGCCCCTTCCACACAATCAAGAAGGTTTTAGTCCAAAATATTTCTTGTACTAAGGTTAAGAAAGCAGCAAACTATGATTCCTACTAAGCACAAATTTCTATTTTGGGATTTATTTTACTTGTTAGATACTTAAAGTGAATGGAACTGAATACACTGTAATTTAATTCTGTATTTTCCTACAGTTGTTTACCTCCTCTTATTGCTGAGTATGAGAAACATCTGGAAGAACTAAGCAGACAGCTGACCTGTTACCAGGTATGAAGTCATAATCACTAAGCTTCTGTATGGTTTTACTGTGAGAAAAAAATATGAAAGTTTCATTCATTTCTAAATGTGTATAGGTAGACATTATCTTCAGTATTCTTTCAAACCCAGTATTCCATTGTTCTTGCGGTCTGACAGAGGCATCTTTTCGAAGCTTGGAGCTGTGTCCTGATTGCATTATTATCTGTTTGTATCTCTGTGCTCAGAACTGTCTCATAGCCTTTCATACCTCACCCTTATTCTACCCATAGTTATCACTATTTGCAGAATGGTTTTCCCCATTTTCAGATCTATTTCTGCCAGATGTCTTTGTCTTGTGTCTTTTAGATAAGATAATACTAACCTACTTCCAATATAGGCTTAGATTGTGGTACATGTTTTTCTATTACTAGTGGAAGTTTATTTTAAGAATAACAGAAATAAGCTCAGGAAGCTGTCTATAGGCAGATCTGTCTCAGGGTGTCTGAGCCTAGGCTCGTGAAAAACTAAAAATACTACAGGATTGTTATTTCAGTTACCCACATTTCATTTCCTTGAACTGAAATAAATGTCTTTTACCTTTCCTCCCAAATTTTCTGATACCAGAAAAACAGTATAAATATTTCATTTTTATAAAAGAGTTTTTATTTGGTGGGCAGTGGTAGCGCATGCCTTTAATCCCAGCACTCGGGAGGCAGAGGCAGGTGGATCTCTGTGAGTTTGAGGCCAGCCTGGTCTACAGGAGCTAGTTCCAGGACAGGCACCAAAGCTACAGAGAAACCCTGTCTCAACCCCCCCCAAATGAGTTTTTATTTTTAAAATTAGCTTACAAAGTAATAGGTTTCCATATGGGGTTTTTATGTATGTAGGAAAAACCCTATCTCTCCTAGTTATAGCTCCTAGCTCTCCCTCCATGTGTACCTGCACTTTCCCTTAACTCCTTTTCCCAGCTATACACTTTGGCCCTAGTGTTTCCTTTTCTGCTTTTGTTGTTGTTTTTCTCACTGTCTTCTCTTAAAGTTGCTGCTGCTGCTGCCTCTACTGCTTCTTTCTAGAATGTATAAAGAATTGTACAAATTAAACACTAAAAACAAAGCTGCCAATCAAATAATCTTCAGGTCTCAAATGGAAGAAATACAAATGGCAGATAAATATTTAGAAGTATTTCTTCAGCAGAACTTCTGGGTGTCAGGGTAAGCCCACCTGCTGACAGTGGCTCCTCCTAATGATTGTATTTGACTTGGATACCAGACCCCGAATCAATTCACTAATGGTAAAGAAAGCAGGGTTAATTTGATGCAAATGTGAGAAAGCACAATAGCTTTGTATAAAAATAACCCCTGGAGACTTATTTTCTCAGAGGAAGAGATTCTGTGCTCTGCCTTCAAGTGTAGCACATAGTAAGCCTTGGCGCCTTTCCGTCTCTCTTACAAAATACCTGAGAAAAATCAACTTAAAGGAGGGAGGTGGGTTTTGGCAAATGGTTTCAGTCCAGGCTACCTGGCTTTGAGAAGAGAGAGAATGTGATAGCTGGAGAAGATGACGGAGGAGGCTGCTCACTTCATGATATCTGGGAAGCAGCGAGAGGAGAAGGGTGCTGGGACTAAATAAGCGCTTGAGGGCATATGCTGGTGACAGCTGTCTCTGAATTGTCCATGAAGCTATGGATTAATTTGATGATAAAGTTAGAGCCCTTAGAATGCAATCTTCTTGCAAGTTCCAACCTCTGAACATAGGCTTTCAAACCTAAGGGGCATTTTATACGCAACCTTAATATATATAGGCCTTTGAATATCTGGTAAATCCCAGGGCTTAAGGGAACAAGAGAGAGCTAAATAAATGTTTTTACAGTATTATTTTTTTTAATTAATAGATTGGTATATACCTTTACTAAGAGAACACAATGCTTTCAACTCCTAAGGATAAAGTTAGGTATTTTCTTGCATAAAGACTTCTACAGATTTTTCATTTCTATCGAGGTTTATTGGGTTGCCAGCCCCCTAAACCTTTATCATCCAGAAGGAACACTTACAGCAAGTGAAAAATGGCTGAAGGGGTCTGATGGTGAAAGGAATGAATCAGCCATGTATAGTTCCAGTGTTCTCTCTTTCCATGCTCTCTTGTGTCTGTTAATTGTGTCTCTGTGGGTATATAAACTGTAAAACACGAGGTTTCCACACAGTCACAATTAACAATTCTTTGGCAATAGTAAGGATACCAGGCATGCATTTCTTAGGGCCAAGACAGATAAGGCTGGCAAAAACAAATACCTGTTAGCTTGAGTGCCTGTTAGCTTGCTTATGTCTCAGAGGGAGTGTGGCTGTGAAACACCCAGGCATATCTGAAAAGGGTAAATAGAGGAAGAAGCTATGATCTCTAAGAGGGGGGAGAGGAACTTTGTGTGTTAACTACATTTGTGTAGTTATGTAATCTAGAAGTTTGTAATTTATAAATGTAGAAAAAAGGGAAAACCGCCGGGCGATGATGGCGCACGCCTTTAATCCCAGCACTCGGGAGGCAGAGGCAGGTGGATCTCTGTGAGTTCGAGACCAGCCTGGTCTACAAGAGCTAGTTCCAGGACAGGCTCCAAAGCCACAGAGAAACCCTGTCTCGAAAAACCAAAAAAAGAAAAAAGAAAAAAAAAAGATAAAAAAAGAAAAAAGGGAAAACCGCAATGCTGTGCATTCTCTGTGCACTTCTGCTTACTTCCAAGGTAGCTGAGAGCACAGCACACAGCGTTTGTGGTAACCATAGCAACCAGCGTAAACCACAGAAGGGAAACGGATGGCACTTGATCCACATTTAACATTTTCACCAAATGCTTGCTGATCAAAGGGTTTCTCTTAGCACTGGATCAAGGTGAAAAGCTGCAACTATGTAGTAAAATCAGGAGATTGCAGCTTCCAGCCCAGGGCTAAGTGGTGGGGTGCTTGTACCCCTGATGCCCAGGTGCAAAGGAATTCCTTTCTCTGGGGCTACTATAAAAACAAAGGTTTGACAGAGCGAATACTTTGACACCAGGGCCCCACAGTGTGGGGAAAGGCCATCCAGTCACCAGTACAGAAAAGAGTTATGCCCAATAATCAATTCATACACTGCTGAGGTTTTGGGGGGACAAATCCCACTATGGAAAAGGGGAGCATTATGAATGACATCACAAGGGTTTTAGAGAATTGACAGCAACTATTCTAAAGACAAATATTTCTAAAGCTTTGCAAATTGGGTTTCCTCCACTGGAATACTCGTGATTCCCGTGGGTTAGCCTAGAGATTGCGCCAGCAGTACTCTCACTGTGCACCACGGCATATTTCCAAGTTTGTTTACAAACCTATAAACTGACAGAGTAGAGCCAGATTCTGATTCTGTATTATTATAAGACAATTCTTAAGTTAATTCACTTCCCATTTTTTTTAATTGAAAAAAAAAAACATTTCCGCCTTCCCAGCCTCCCATTTCCCTCCCCCTCCTCCCACTCCTTTCCCCCTCCCCCTTCCCCTCTCCCCTCCCTCTCCAGTCCAAGAGCAATCAGGGTTCCCTGTCAGGGTTCCCTGCCCCGTGGAAAGTCCAAGGTCCTCCCCCATCCATCCAGGTCTAGGAAGGTGAACGTCCAAACTGGTTAGGCTCCCACAAAGCCAGAACATGAAGTAGGATCAAAACCCAGTGCCATTGTCCTTGGCTTCTCATCAGCCCTCATTGTCCACCATGTTCAGAGAGTCCGGCTTTATCCCATGCTTTTTCAGTCCCAGTCCAACTGGCCTTGGTAAGCTCCCAATAGATCAGCCCCACTGTCTCAGTGGATGGGTGCACCCCTCGCGGTCCTGACTTCCTTGCTCATGTTCTCCCTCCTTCTGCTCCTCATTGGACCTTGGAAGCTCATTCCGGTGCTCCAATGTGGGTCTCTGTCTCTATCTCCATCCATCGCCAGATGAAGATTCTATGGTGATATGCAAGATATTCATCAGTTTTTTGGATTTTTGAGACAGGGTTTCTCCGTAGCTTTTTTGGTTCTTGTCCTGGAACTAGCTCTTGTAGACCAGGCTGGCCTCGAACTCACAGAGATCTGCCTGCCTCTGCCTCCCGAGTGCTGGGATTAAAGGCGTGAGCCGCCGCCGCCACCACCACCACCACCGCCTCCGCCCAGCTCATTTCCCATTTTTTTGTGATGTCTTTTTTAGCCTTTAGCCATTTTAATTTAAACCAACCACAAAAGCGGGTGGTGCACACCTTTAGTCCCAGCACTCGGGAGGCAGAGGCAGGATCTTTGTGAGTTCGAAGCCAGCCTGGTCTACAAGAGCTAGTTCCAGGACAGGAACTAAAAAGCTATGGAGAAACCCGGGTCTCGGGGGAAAAAAAAGAACAACCAACCACAACAATGTCTTTTTTTCCTTTAGATAAGCAATTAAAGAACAGAAGTCCTTTTTGTGTAAATGGTGTTTTAGTTTTAGGAATAACAAATCTAAAGTTTCTGCTGAGTGCACTTTCTGAATTGCTTTGATGCTGTATTGTGTACTTCAGTTGTTGTTCCAGAATAGCTAGTTGTCTGGAAATTAAACTCTCTTAAAACCTCTTATCACCTATCTGGTTCCTGTGTCTCTTTAATGAGCTATTTTTCGGAAGTGCTTGCCTTAAATTTCTCATCTGATGTTCTTACCGCCTGTGGGTGATTACTGACTTAAATATAGGAAGAAACTACACTAAAAAGCCCAAGAGTCTTCAATGATAGTAATAGTGTTATATATTTTTAGAGAGGGAGAAAAAGATGTTGGGTATCTACTTCTAAGAATAGTTCATCTTTGCTCGCATAGATATAGTTAATAAGTAGAACTAATTTAAAGAATTACAGATATACTTGGGCATAGTCTGAGTGCCTTTAGTTAGTCTCAGCACTCAAGAGACAGAGGCAGGTGGATTTCTATGAGTTCAGGCCAGCCTGAGCTACATAGAGAGTTCAGAACAGCCAGGACTACAGAAACTCTCAAAACAAAAACAAAAACCCAACAAAATCTAACACATTGAAAGAAAAAAGAATTACAGATGTGACAAAGAAATAGTACACCTTCAAAACAGGAAAATCATGCTGTAATTCTATGTACAAAGATTCCCACCCCCACCCCACCAAAATCATGTATAGTAGGGAAATTTTGATGATATAAGATCTAAAATCTACTATGTAGATTTTCTTTCCTTCCAAATAATTAAATATTTTCAAGTATTTTATGGTAAAGTCCTTGATGTGACTTATATAATAATATGCTTATATAAGAATATATATAATTTTATACTTATATAAGGATGTTATATGTAATATATAGTATTCTATATAATCATTTGCAGTACTAGATATTTTTCAAGGGAGACTGTCTTTGCAAATATGATCAATACTCAGTTATCTGGTAGTACATTAATTCATTTTAGTTTGACTGAAATCCTGGCCTAGCTGGAACTTGGGAAAAATTCAGCTTTGATGCCAATTTCATATTAAAAGGTGGTTAGTGATTTTTTTAAGCCAAGCTGCTTTGAGCCTCTCTGAGTGGGAGAGAGACAGACTTGGAGAGCTGCCTGTTCACACATCTCTTGCCAGGTCGGCTTCAGGCTTGGCTCTTCTCCTTTACCCTCGAGTACCCAATCAAGACTGATGGATGTATTTTGAGCTGAGTACACCTTTGTTTTAAACATGTATTTCCATGACCAGCTCTTATTGAAAACTGACTCTTTATTTTTCCCAGTTTGCTTTTATTAAATTCCCTCTTCCTTTCCCTTTGAAATGCTAATAATTTCTCTGTTATTACCTCAGAGAAAATCAGTGAAACTTTCATCTCATTCTCTTTGCAGTATGGATTATAACCTTCATTGTATTTTAGTTAATGAGTTTTTAAATCATCTAACCTGCTAAATAATCAACCTTGTCTGTTTACCATAGCAACATTGTTTAGAACAGAGTTCAGATAGTTACTAAGGGTGGTGAGAGTGAATAAGTGCTAAAGAAAACCTTAATTTTCTTTTTTCACCATTCCCATTTTACCTCTTGAAATAGGAGAAAATATACATATTGATATGAGCTTCCACAGAATAGATTGATTAATTAATTAAAATATAAATTTAAGGTATAGCGATCAACTGGTTTTGTTTGTTTGTTTGTTTGTTTGGGTTTTTTTTTTCTTTTTTTTTTTTTTTTTTTTTTTTTTTTTTTTTTTTTTTTTTTTTTTTTTTTTTTTTTTTTTTTTTTTTTTTTTTTTTGGAGACAGGGTTTGTCTGTGTAATAGCCCTGGATGTCCTGAAACTCACTTTGTTGACCGGCTACCCTCAAACTCCCAGATATTTACCTACCTCTATCTTCCAAGTGCTGGGATTAAATGCATATACCACCATGCCCAACTCAACTGGTATTTTTAGTATAATGAAGTGTATCTTTTTTTTGTTTTCTTGGATATATATTTTTAAATATTTCTCAATTGTTGCATAAAATGTTTTTATTTATTTACAATCTGTTGAAAAATGAATGTTCTATTATGTTTGGTATAATTGTTAAACTATCTACATGTGATACTGCTTGTTAAATGTAATGAATAAATTTTATCTGTAAATATCAAAAAGTCTGATTGCTTGCATGTGAATTGAGTACTAAATGGAGATCTAATTGTCTCGAGAATGTATTACTACACTGTGTTTTATTCTTGTAGAAACACATGGGTGAGATGAAACTACAGCTTGAAACTGTCATCACTGAAAATGAAAGGTAAATCAATTAGCCAGTTGGTTGTCTGTGGCTTTAGATAACTTTCATTTTGTTCTTGATACACAGAGTACAGTGATTTAGAGTGCAGACTCCCGAGCTTAAATTTCTGTTGACTGTTGGCTTCTTTAACTGTGACGTAAAACAGGTTATTTAACTTCCTTCTGTTGTAACTTTCTTTTTTTTTTTTTTTTTTTGGTTTTTCGAGACAAGAGTTTCTCTGTGGCTTTGGAGCCTGTCCTGGCACTAGCTCTGTAGACCATGCTGGTCTCGAACTCACAGAGATCCGCCTGCCTCTGCCTCCCGAGTGCTGGGATTAAAGGCATGCGCCACCATCGCCCGGCTGTTGTAACTTTCTTGCCTATGAATTACAACTTATAAAAGAATCTTTTACTTCACCTATTACTTTTATTCTATGTGTACATATATGCGCACATATATGTATGTATATAAACCTACTGAGTCCATTTAATGTTGCTCTCATATGTATTTGTAGGGCTGACCACATGGTTTTGGGTAACTACTAATTTTACCTCTTAGTAGTCTTTAATTGCCTAGAGTTCCTCCTCTAAGGGTGAAGCCCTGTAAGAGTTCCCCTATTCATATTATCATGTCAGCTGGTGTCATTGTTCTGATCTTTATTTAGTTACCATGTTGTTGAGACTTCATGAGTGTAGCTTTCCTGACCTATATATTGAAAACACAATCTCTTAGCACATGTCCTGGTGCTTTGGCTCTTAGACTCTTTCTGCTTCCTCTTCCTTTGTGTTCCTTTAGTCTTAGATACAGGGGTAGTGTTAGAGATGTGTCTGGGCACCTCACAGTCAGTTTTCTGCATTTTGACCAGTTTGTAGCTTCCTATAGTGGTCTCTATCTGCTGCTAAAAGAAACTTATCTGATCTACATTGACTGTGTGTATAAGGATAAGTATTTAGAATGCAGTTAGAGATTACACTGGTTTAAGAAAGTGGCAGTAGTGAGTTTTCTTCTAGGTTTCCTGGTCTCGCCTGTCTTAGTTGGCGAGGTTTGTAGTACTGTCTCTGAGTTTTTCCTCCTATAGAGCAGGTCTTAGGTACAATTAGGCATCTGTTGGTTACTCACAAGATAGAAGCGCTACTATTTCACCTTTAGGGATGTGTTAAATACTGGTCATTGTGTTTTATAAGTACCACAGCTGGGTAGAGCTGTTGATTGCCCCACCCCTTGGTAGCTTGCATAGCACCTCCCAGTCCTTGCAGCTTAGTTTTATCATGTTATGTGTCCAAAATGTGTATTGTTTCCAGCATTAGAGACGTAATTCCAAATTCTGGAAAGCAACTCAAGGACAATGCCAATAGCCTATGTTGTTGGGATGGGGTGTCCTTCGGGTTCCCTGACCAAGGTTTCTGTTGATAGACTGTGACAAAAGAACATTTTTCTCGTGCACTGACTTTAAGAAATAAATAGCTTGAAATTGGACACATAAATACTTTATAAATATTATAATACAATAAGATAGTATAAATATGTGTAGTAGGAAACACAATAATTACATACAATCAAACAATAAGCTTAAAAGCTAAAAGTATTGCCAACTTTGATGCCTCTATCTATGATTTCTTTCTTGTTCCCATCCTCATTCCCTCTACCAAGTAAATACTAGATTGGATTCTCTTAGTAATATATTATTTAGGTGGCATTTTTAAAATTATAAAAATCATATCCAGTATTTTGGGACTTAACACTTTTCACTATCATGCACAGGTATGAAAATTTCAAGAGATGAAACTACCAAGTTATAGATGTATAATTGGATGTCAACTTAATGTATAACTTGTCCGTATCAACTGGTTTATATTTTCACCAGTAGTATTTTTAATTCATGTTGATCTATATTTTCTGGCAATAACTCTAATTAAACTTCTTAAATACTATTATTTTTGCTACTAAGTAATTTCTCCTTGTGATCCTAATTTACACTTTTCTAAATACTGATATTTGGACATTTTTCTTATACTTTTCTCATAAAATGTTTATTCATCTCGTTTCTCAGGTCTTTATTATTTATTTTTCTTACTAAGATGTGTCTGTCTCTTTTAATTGGCTCCTTTGGTAAAATTTTAATCTTTTGTGCACCGACTTTGAGGATATCTTGAATATATAGTTTTAGACCGTCAGGTGCTATATAGATACAGAAATGTGAAGTATAAGTAAGAGTGCCGACTGTCCATTGCAGCATCCTAGATAATAGGTGTTTCAAATATGCATTCCCAGATTGCGATGTGCTTAATGAAATAATTTTCTATTTTCTTCTTTAAACTTTAAAGTAGCTGAGTCCCTCACTCTTTTCTTTTCCTATGGTTACTTATTTTGTCTCTCCACTAGTGTGTCCTCTCTCAGCATATTATTTTATATATATATATATATTTTTTTATTGAGAAAAGGAAAAAAAAAGTTTCCACCTCCTCCCAGCCTCCCATTTCCCCCCCCCCCCCCCCACCCCCCCCCCCCCCCCCCCCCC